ATCTCCTGAATATCTGTTTGAATCTGTTTCATGGATTCCATTTCTTTCTTATGTTGGGTGATCATGGTTTCCATTTCTTTCTTATGCTGGGCATTTGTCGCTTCCAGTATATTTCTGAGCTCATCTATTTTTTTATCTGTTTCTGTTCCAGAGCCTCGAATCATGTCTTTCACTCTGCTCACCATGTCTGTAGTTATCTGGGAGATTATCTCTGTTTTGAATTTTTCTAGAGCCTCATCCATCTGTTTTGTTACTTCCTGTGCTATCAGTTCAGGGTGTCCAGGTGGTTGATTATCAGACTTTTCCACCTTGTTTCCCCCCAAATTTGCCTTTTGTCGGGTGGAAGTCCGAGTTTGGGCCTTACTTAAATGTCTTCTCATTTTTGTTTTTAGTACTGTCCTTGGTTTAGTTCCTGGGTTGATATTTTGAAGTTGCTTATTGTAGGTATCTTTGTTAATGTATTTAGAACCCTTATGGAATGATTGCTTCTCAGAGGTGTCTTCCAGATATAACTGGTCTTTAGGTTTTGAGTCTCTAATGGCACTGAGGCTATCTCATTTTCATTATACCAGGAAGGAACTGATTAGATCAATCACAACACCTTAGCCCAAGTGATACAATCAGCAACACAATAACATCAAGTATAGGTTAGAAAATGACAGTTTGTGGTAGTTATTAATCTATCACCTTTAACTATGTGAATTAAATTAAAATCAAGGACCAACCGAACACATGTTTATAGTGAATAAACTCTTCAATATAGTAACTTTACCCTTCGGGATGGAAAGTTAGAAGTTGGAGAGGGAGCAGTAGGTAAGCAGAAGGATAGGGGAAGGTTAGCAGTGAGGCCAGAGGGCACAGGCAAGAGAAGGAAAGAGAAGAAAAGAAAGATGAAGAAATACGAATTAGGGCCAGAACAGAAACACAAAGGGAGATGAAGAACAATGTGGGACAGCAAGGGAGAGAGGGAGAGAGAGAGAGATAGAAAAGAGAAAAGAAAGAAAAATGAGAAAAATAAAAATTTTTAAAGAGTAGCAAAGAAGAAAAAAATTAAAAATAAGAGCAAAAAAATAGTGATAGTTTTGAAAATAACAAATAAAGATAAAAATGAAGGGCCTCCTTCAGGGTATGTCTGTGCTGTCACAATAGACAATGTGGGCAGCAGTGTGCAGATATAAGTCAATGAGTCTCAGTAAGCCAGTCACAGACCCATGAGATTCAGGCAGATTTCTGGCTGCAAGTCTCAAGTTGAGCTCCCTGTCCTCCTGCATGGTTGAACTGTGCAAGGTTCTATTGCAGGTTCCAGCTGCCTTTCCCCTGAAGATAGTCCAGGTTCTGATGGGAAGTGATGATCCCTCCAACTTACCAAGCATGGTGGTCTGGTGTGCCTTTATTGCAGAGATTCTCTTCACTTTTGCAGTGGGCTTCAGTTTTCATCAGGGAGCCTGAGAGAGGCCCTCTCTCCGTTGTTCACTTCAGCTAGGTCTTCTGTTAGGTCTCCAGCTGGGTCTCAAGCTATGTCTCCTGGTTGCAAGTGGGCGGAGCAAGCCGGACTGAGCAGGGTGCAGTCAGCCCAAGCCTGCTCTGCCCGTGGCTGAGCTGCAGGCTGGTGGGCGTCCCGGGGGGGGGGGGGTCCTCACTGGCTACTTGATAATATTTTTTAAAAATCTGCACAGCAGAGCCTCTGTGAGCACCTCCCTCCTTTGACAGTCTAGTTCTCTGAACACATGATGGGCCCCTAATTTGCTAGGACAGCCCAGTCTCACACCTGCATCTATTGGTTCCTCTCCCTGGCTCTCCTGATCTCTAATTGCAGCAAAACCACTCTTCCTAATCTCATATTTACCCAGATGATAGCAACATTCCCTGAGGGGCTTAAACTTCTTGAGGGCAAGCAGCTTTTAAACAGTTTTTGTCTTTTTAAAATTACCTGGTATCCACTCTTGGTGTGTTTCATTTTTGCCAGTTGTCAGACAAAATACATGCTCCTGCTGGGGAGGTTTGGAGAAAGTTTAAGGAGGGTAGGGAGTAAACCTAGCCAGCAGGGAAGATGACAGGCAAGTATATCAGGAAGAGAAGTTATGTGATTTTCACCACATTAAACAACAACAAAAAAAGAAGGCAGAAAATATTTAAAAACTCGAGGGGGAGGGATGCAAGCTCTGGACAGGCAGTTCTGAAAAACATGATTCCATTTACTTTCCTAATCCATCCTTCCTTCTGATATAGGGGAATAAATGTGACTCCCAAACTTGTCAGATGTCAGATACACTGACTTTTTGTTCCCCCAAATTGAAGAATGAATTCTAAGGAACAATGGATGTTACAAGTAGGAAAAATTCATTGAGAGAGAGCGCTCCTGAGAGACAGAAGAGGATCTGAAAGTGAGTTGCCAATGAACCCACTTCTCAAAGGCAGATTTATAGAGCAGAATCACGAGGCAGTTACGATGTGGGTCAAAACTATGATCAACCAATAAGATTACAAATATAATCACTTAGGTCATATTGATCCAATAGGGAAGCAGGTCACGTAGCAAAGGTATATGGAAAGAACAAAGACCTTTTTAGGAAGGGATGGATCAGGAGGTCCTGGTCACCCACCTGGGTGACTGATGTCTATCTAGACTTTATTTGACCAAGTGATACCACTTATCTTACATTCCCCCCCACCCCCACCCCGGGAGGCATGTAGGCCTGATCATTCTGCCTTTACCTTGAGGCCTGGCCTCTGAGAGATGTGCCTCCAGCCACAGGTATAATGTGTTCTCATCTTCTGCACTGACTCCCTTGAGGGCCTGTCTGACTGCCTATAATATTTCTACCTAACTTAGCTATCAATAATATTAAAATACACGCTGTTGCTAGGGAGGTTTGGAGAAAGTCGAGGAGTAAACCTAGCCAGCAGGGGCGATGACAGGCACATATATCAGGAAGAGAAGTTATGTGAACCTGAGGCAGGAGGATGTTAAGTTTGAGGCCAGCCTGGGCAATTTAGTGAAATCCTGTCCCAAAATAAAAAAATGTAAAAAGTTTGGGGATGTAGCTCAGTGTGAAGGCCCTGGGGCCCTTGGTTCAGTTCCTAGTACTGCAAACAAAACAAAATAACAAATCAAACCAAAGAAAACAACAACGACAACAAAACCCCTCAAAAACCCTACTATATAAAATTTTCTTTTTTGTTATTATTTCGTGGTGCCTCTGAGGCACTCTCTACCTTCCTTTGATTTGTGGTCAGACTTATGAAGCAAAAGTACCTTCCCACAGTCCTTTCACAGAAGATTTCAACTCAAATCACACTGGCTTAGAAGTCAATTTATTTAAAAATTGGAAATGAGCCTTGAATGCAGTTATAATACGAACAAAGGAAGCGTGGCACAACTGGCCACTCCCCATCAATCAAGGAAATTCTGAAGTCCCGCCAGCCCCATGACCCTGCACAGCCTGACTCTGCTCCCTTTCCCAATAGGAAGCCATACTTGGAGAAGAAAGCAGGAGACAGAAAGGTGGCTGTCCCAAGTTGGAGAAAGAGACCAGCATGGGATCAGGGAAGCCTGCAAAGGTAAGTTCCTCCACAAAGCCCAGAAGGCTCTGTGCACTGTCTTGGGGACCATGGAGCAGGGGGTGTGGGGTGTGGGGTCACACCACCAGAACTCTGTCCTTAGCCTCCCAGGGTTGCACCAGCTTGTCCCCAAAAGCCAGGACATATTCCACATGGCTCTGATGGCTGGCAGAGGTCCTGAATGGAAATGTGATATGGAAGTTTGAGTTCCCTCTGAAGGCCTGACTCTGGCAAGGGCATGTGAGCAGCCTCACAAACACATGATTAATCAGATGGGAAGGCTCACGGTATCTGGTTATCTAGAGAAATGTATTTGGTCTTTGTCCCTGGTTCTGGTCCCAGAGCTCCTAAAACCCCCGGAATTTCCTGAATGATAGGAGCCTTTTGTTATTTATAATAAGACCCATTGGATAACACTTGAGTTTATGCTAATGAGCTGATTTAGAAACCAGCTAGATAGCCTCAGTGTGGGGCCAGTCACCAAAAAAGACCCAGAGAGGAGAGGATTAGAGTTGGAATGTTCAGCCCTGCCCACAACCCCTGGGGTGAGGGTGATGGTGATTAAGCACCATAAAAACTCTGGAACCACAGACTCTGAGCTTTGGAGTCACTGAATGCATAGAGGTGACTTGAGGATGGAGTGCAGTGACCCAAAAAGGGTACAGAAGCTCTTCCCCTGCCTGCCCTGCCTCACCCTGTCCACCTCTTCATCTGTCTGTTCACAAATGTGTCTCCTTAAATTCTCAAATCCTCCTAGCCAATTCATAAAAATCAAGGAGAGGGTAGTGGGAGCTGTGATTCATAGCTGGTCTGTCAATGCTTGGGTGATGACCTACTACTTGCCATCTGCAGTGGGGTGGTCACAAAAGCTGGGTGCAATTCAGAAGGACACCAAGAGCCCTTTGAGGAGAAAAATCACCTCAGCCAAAGGTCTCTCCCTTGAGGAGCTCTGATGATTATGGCTTCCCCCATCCCACCAGCCATTCTCTTCTTCGCTGCTGAAGTCACCTTTTAAAAAAATAAAAATGAACCAGCGATTTAGCTCAGTGGTTCCACCACTTGCCTCAAAAGCACAAAGTCCCGAGTTCGATCCCCAGTACCAAAAAATAAAAAGTTCAAAAAAAAAAAAAAATCATGTCCTCCCCCCCCTCCCCAACAGCTGAAAATTGGCCAGCATCTCCTGATCTCACCTCAAAAGTGAATAAATGCATGCCTGGGGGTTGGCACACTTTTTCTGTAACAGGTCACATAGTAAATATTTAGGCTTTGCCTGATTTAAGGTTTCTGTTGTGCTGCATGTTGAGCTGCCCTGCGAGAGGCCAAAAGGAAACAATGTTTAGGGAGACAGTCACTCAGAGTCATCCTAGAACAAAGGTTGCCGTAAACAACATGCAAAGGAGCAGGCATGTCTGAGTAAGGCTTTATTTATGGGTAACACCCATGGTGTTACTGGGTTCTGGGATTCTGTAGGCTCTTTCCAGGTCTTTGAAATCCTAAACAGAGAATTAGACAAGATACATGAAAAAGGTATCGAGGTTTTACATTTATCATCGGTAGGAAAAGAAGTACGTTCTGCAGAGTAAGAGCAGCTACAGAGTTCACAGTGGCTACAAAGTTAACAAAGGTCTTTTGTATACTCCATTCTTCAGACTGATGTCAGATCTATGTCATCTTATAAAAAAAACCTACTTGATTTTGTTTCAGAAGAATTGAAGATAGAAATTTCTGATTGGCCCCAGGGACAGGGCTTGGTAGATGTATTCTGCCAATGTGTTCCTGGATCTCTGTGATTGACAGGACATGCCCACTTGCTCAGCTGTTTGGCCATGCCCTAATCTCCTGTCTCAAGGGGGTTGTGGGCACCAACTCTGGTGTCAAAGTCTGCATCTGTTCTGTTCTTGTCTTGGAATGCTGTTTTCTAATTATCACATGGATAGCCCTAAGTACTAGATAACTTAGTAAACAGATTAGCCATATATTTGGACAATAAGCAAGTAAAAGCCTAAAAATTGAAAAATAATTTGGAAAGAATTTGACTAGGGAGAAATGAAACTTTTTATTTTATCTTCTTTGCACTTATTTTAAGCCTTGGTTGATTACTTTTATTTCACATTACTCCATGTGGAGGGAAGAAAGACACCATAATCTTAACATATTTAAATAGGGCCTCACAAGACTCAGTGTAGCCCTGCTGGTTCCTTCTGGTAAACTCTGGCCTTGGAACAAATGTTACCTTCTCAGGGAAGATTTCTTGGATGCTACAGACTTCATGATGCCTGATAATTTGAAACCAGGACCTTATGCATGCTAGGCAAACATTCTGTTGCTGAGCTATATCTGCAGACCTTTTTAAAAATGTTATTTGAGGGCTGGGGATTTAGCTCAGTGGTTCCACTGCCTGCCTCGAAAGCACAAGGACCCGAGTTCGATCCCCGGTACCAAAAACCAAACCAAACAAAACAAACAAACAAACAAAAAAACCGAAAAGACAAATTGGGCTGGGGATTTAGCTCAGTGGTTCCACCGCCTGCCTTGCATGCGCAAGGTCCTGAGTTTGATCCCTGGTACCAAAAAAAAAAAA